ATACACGCCGGAGCACGACTCGGGGGGAACAGACTTCCTTCTGGATGGGCGCCAAGCTCTTTTGTCCTGCACGACTCGGAGGGAACTCCGCACCCCCTGGGCACGCGCGGGAGCGCGACTCGGGGGGGGCAGCTTCCCCTTTGGATACGCGCGAAGCTCTTTCCTCCTGCGCGACTCGAAGGGAACTCCGTCCCCCCTGGACACGTGCAAAAGCACAACTCGGGGGGGCAGCCTTCCCTCTGGATGCGCGCCAAGCTCTTTCCTCCTGCGCGACTCGGAAAGAACTCCGTTCCAACTGGACACACGCCGGAGCGCGACTCGGGGGGAACAGCCTTCCCTCTGGATACGCGCCAAGCTCTGTCTCCTGCGTGACTCGGAGGGGACTCCGCCCCCCCTGGATACACGCGGAAGCACGACTCGGGGGGGGGCAGCCTTCCCTGCGGATGCGCGCCAAGCTCTTTCGCCCTGCGCGACTCGGAGGGGGCCCCCGGCCGACCTCGCCGACCGAGCTCGCGCCCTTGCGTTGCTGCTTGCGCGGCCTGCTTTCGCAGATCGCACGGCAGCTCCTTGGTTGACGGCCAGAGGCAAATGAGATGGGTGTTTGTAGCCCGTCACAGAGAACTGTTACGACGCCGCCTTTTGCCGGAGAGCTGTCAAGACACCATTCGTTGCGGCCGCGCTCCCTTTCTGAGCCCAGTAGCACAATAACACAAGCAGCGTTCAGCGTCAAGGGCGGAAGCCCGCCGCCGAAGAGCAGCGAAGCACAATTAGCCTGTTCGGGGAAGGGTTTCGCAGAACCATAGGAAGCGGCTTCCGCCTGAGACTTCCTCGCAATGCACTCACAGCCGAGGGTGGGCGGGCGGCAGCGATGCGCCGCAGGCGTCTGAGATAGCAGTCAAGGAAGGAGGGAAAGGAGGGCGAGAGAGGGAAAGGATGGAGAGGGGCGGTTATCCTGGACGGGGGGGGGGGGGGGGGGGGGGGGCATCCGAGGGAACGGCGCCCCCCCCCCCCCCTCCCATCGCGTTAGTTCAGACAGGGCGCTTTCCAATGTTTCGAGCTGCCCCCGCTCCGCGAACCCCATTGGGAGGTCGAGGCCCCCGCTCTGCAGTGGGTTTCGCGGAACGGGGCGCCCCCCCCAGGTGCCTGTTATCTTCGCGCTGGCGGCGGGGTGGCACCCAGGGGGGCCGTTCTACTTCGATGGGGGGGGGGAAAGGGGGAGGAAGGAGAGAGGAGGAGTTCGCCCGCAGGCGACAGAGCATTCCACCGCCCTGGTTTTGGCGGGGCCGAGGCTCGAATCGCCCGCCCCGCTTGTGCTGTTGATTATTGTGCTGTTGGCGCTTGTGCTGGTGATGGTTGTGTTGCTCGTGCCGCTGGCGGTTGTGCTGGCGGTGGTTGTGCTGATCGTGCTGGTGGTGGTTGTTCTGCCAGTGGTTGGGCTGATGGTGATGGTGGCGCTGGCGATGGTTGCGTTGGTCGTGGTTGTGTTCGTTGTGGTGCCATATTGCAATGGCGCTTGTGCTGTTGGTAGTTGTGCTGTTGGTGGTTGTGCTGGTGATGGTTGTGTTGGTTGTGCTGCTGGCGGTTGTGCCGGTGGCGGCTGCGCTGATTGCGCTGGTGGTGCTGGCGGCGGCGGCTGTGCTGATTGCGTTGGCGCTGGTTGTTCTGCCGGTGGCACAGGGGGCGACCGCGCAGAGCCACATCGTCTCCAGCTGGTGGTAGTCATTTGCGCCACGGTTTGGCCGCAATGCGAACACAAACGAATATATTAAGTTGTGCTGGTGGCGGCTGTCGCCACTGTTGGTGCGCAACCCCTGAAGGATTGCTGGTGGTAGTTGCGTTGGTGGTAATTGCACTGGCGGTTGCGCCGGTGATGGTTGCGCTGGTTGCGCCGGTGCTCGCCCGCAGGCTTTTTGCGGGGCCGAGGCTCGCATCGCCCGCCCCGCTTGTGCTGTTGGTGGCTGTGCTGGTGATGGTTGTGCTGGTTGTGCTCCCAGCGGTTGCGCCGATGGCGATGGCTACGGCGACGGCGACGACAACGACGACGACGACGACGAGGGCGTCCTTGAAGGGCTCCGAGGCGTGCCTCCGACTCCGGGCTCGTCATCTTCTTCCTTCTCCCCCTCCTGCTCCTCCTCGTTCTCCTCCCCAGCCTCCCCCTCCTCATCCCGCTCATCGTCATCATCAGCATCGTCATCATCATCATCATCATCATCCCCTTCCTGCTCCTGCTCCCACTCGCGCCCATGCTCGCCTCCTCCTCCTCCTCCTGCCTCTTCCTCCTCCTCCTCCCCAGCCTCCTCCTCCTCCTCCTCCCCCCCCCCCCTCCTCCTCCTCCTCCTCCTCCTCCCACCTCCTCCTCCTCCTCCTCCTCCTCCTCCTCCTCCTCCTCCTCCTCCTCCTCCTCTTCCCCCCACTCCCCTTCCTATTCGTGGAGTCGGAAGGCGAGAGATGCCGCGCCTGCAAATTCCCAAACCGCCTGAGCCGCGCGCACGAAATTCTACGAACGTGGCCCCTCGCCATCGGTATCCTCCTTTTCCTCCACTCGTCCTCCTCCGACTCCTCCTCCTTGCCTCCTCCTCCCCCTCCTTCTCCTTCTCACCCAGAGACCTCTGAGAGAGCGAAGCAAACATCATCATCATCGTCGTCATCATTCTACTCGTCCTCTTACGCATCCTCATCATCATCGTCATCATTATCATGGTCATCATCATCATCCTCATCATCAGCATCATCACCAGACTCCTCCTCCTCCTCCACCTCATCACCCTCGTCGTCATCATCATCATCATCATCATTCCCATCACCATCATCACCATCATCATCACCATCATCATCATCGTCATCGCCATCGTCATCGTCGTCATCATCCCCTTCCTGCTCCTCCTCTTCCTGCCTCCTCCTCCTTCCCCCCTCCCCCTCCTCCTCCCCATCCCCCTCCTCCCAGTTCCCCCGTCGTCCTCCTCGTCTGCCCCCCCCTCCCTCCTCACCTTCCTTTTCCTCCTTCTCCTCCACTCGTCCTCCTCCTGATCCTCCTCTTCCTCCTCCTCCTCCTGCCTCCTCCCCCCCTGATCCTCCTCTTCCTCTGCCAGGAAGCCAGGTGCGCATGACGTGTTCCTCCGGCGCGCCGGCTTCTCGAGCTCCCCCTCTTCCTCCTCCTCCTCCCCCCCCTCCTCCTCTTCCTCCTCCTCCTCCTCCTCCTGGCCCTCTTCCTCCTCCTCGATTATCAAGAAAGCGGCGCGGCCGTCGTCGTTGCGATCATCATCGCCATCACCACCATCATCATCATCATCACCAGCATCACCATCATCATCATCATCATCCCTTTCTCCTGCTCCTACTCGCGTTCATGCTCGCCTCCTTCTCCTCATCATCGCCCTCCTCGTCCTCCTCCTACTCCTACTCCTACTCCTCCCCTGCCTCGTCCTCCTCCTCCGCCTCCCCAGCCTCCTCCTCCTCCTCCTCTTCCTCCCCCTCCTCCTCTCCTCATCATCCTCCTCCTCATCCTCCTCTTCCTCCTCCTCCTCTTCCTCCTCCCCCTCCTCCTCCTCCTCCCCCCCCTCCTCTTCTTCCTCCTGCCCCCTCCTCCTCTTCCTCCAAATATGCCCCGAAAGCGAAACATGTCGGAAGAGAAAATGGCCAAACCGCCTGAGACACCCCCACAACATTCCGCGAACGGCGCCCCGTGAAACCACCCCCCGCCACCCCCCTGAAGTGCTGAAACCAGCGAATCGCCTGAGGCACCCTCCAAACCTGCTCCGACAGCGAGACATGTTGAAGGAGAAAAAAACCACAGCCGCCTGCGACATTCCCACAACATACCGCGAACGGGACCCCGTGAAACCACCCCCCGCCGCCCCCCTTAGGAGTGCTGAAGCCGCAGAATCGCTTGAGACATCCTCAACATCAGTGTGTGTGTGTGTGTGCGTGTGTGTGTGCGTGTGTGTGTGTGTGTGTCTGTGTGTGTGTGAGTCATCGGATGAGTGGACCGAGTCTGAGTGATAAGTTATTCTCGGGGCCGTTTCAGTGATGACTAACTCTGAGTGAAAAAAACTGAGCATGAGGGAGTCTAAGTGGTGAGTGAGTCTGAGTGATGAGTGAGTCTGGTTGATGAGTGAGTCTGAGTGATGAGTAAGTCTGAGAGATGACTGAGTCTTAGGATATGGGGAACAAGAGCCCCACTCAGTCATCACTCAGAACGAGTCTGAGTGAGTCTGAGTGATGCGTGAGTCTGAGTGATGAGTGACTCTGAGTGATGAGTGAGTCTGAGTGATGATGAGTGAGTCTGAGTGATGAGTGAGTCTGGCTGATGAGTGAGTCAGAGTGATGAGTGAGTCTGAGTGAGTCTGAGTGAGTCTGAGTGAGGGAGGCGAGGTGAGGTGTCCTGACTGACTGACTGTTCTTCCGGCGCGGTCCGCCAATAATAAGAACCCCATGCTTAGGATATGGGGAAGAACCCCATCTTAGGATAAGGGGAACGAGCAAACCGATCGAGACATCATCAAAATTTGGCCCACCTGGGTGGGGTGTGAAAAGGAGCGCCTCGCTCGAGACATCCTCCAAATCTGCTCCGGAGGCGAAGGACGCTGGCACAGAAAAACAGGCAAACTGCTCGAGACATCCCCACAACATCCCGCGAAAGGGGCCGAGTGCGATGCCCCCCCGCCGCTCCCCTTAGGAACGTGAAAATGAGCGCCTCGCTCGAGACATCCTCCAAATCTGCTCCGAAAGCGAAGGGTGATGGGTCAGAAAACAGGCAAACCTCTCGAGACATCCCCACGAAATCCCGCGAAAGGGACAGAGTGCAATACTCCCCGCCGCTCCCCTTAGGAGTGCTGAAGCCACAGAATCGCCTGAGACATCCTCAACATCAGTGTGCGTGAGTCATCCGATGAGTGGACCTGAGTGAGTGTAGTGAATGTATGAGTACAAGTACGAGTGAGTCTGAGTGATGAGTGAGTCTGAGTGATGAGTGAGTCTGAGTGATGAGTGAGTCTGAGTGATGAGTGAGTCTGACTGATGAGTGGGTCTGAGTGATGAGTGAGTCTGAGTGACGAGTGAGCGTTCTCTCTCCTCCGGCGCGGTCCGCCAATATCAAGAACCCCATACTTAGGATATGGGGAACAAGAACCCCATCTTAGGATATGGGGAAAAAGGAGAGGACCCGCGGGGCCGGGGGGAAGGTCGAGCGCCGGCGCGGCCCTCCGCGCGGCAAGCGCCGACGAGACAGCAGCCGCTCGCGACCGGGGGCGGCGCCGAGCCCGGCGCGCCCGGCGAGGGGGCCCCCAGCAGCGGTCGCGATCGGAGCGGCCCCCGCGGATCGCGGCCGCGGCGAAGCGTCGAGGCGATAGTGCCAACATGGCGCGCGCAATCCTCATGGTCCATGTCCATGCATCATCTCCTTTCCCACCTATCAGGTCAAGGCGCTGCGCCTCCTCCTCGCCGCTCGCGTGACCCCGGGGCCCGGGGCCATTATCTCGCCTGAGTCTCAGGGCAGGTTTTCAGGCGCCGCGTCTGCTGCCCGAGGTTGCCAACATCACCTACTGCGGAGCGTGGCCACTCACGCCATCATCGCTCACGCGCGCGATTGCCTTCACTGCCGGTCTTAAGGTCACGACCTAGCTCTCCATCGCAGCGAATGGGTCCGGTCCCCATATGCGCGCGCTCATGAGGTCAGACAGCGACGGTGTTTCTTGTCCGGTTTGAGAATGTGTTGGCGAGTGGGCAGGTCCGGTTATTTTTTTCTTTTGGCACTCCTTCTCCGCCACGGCGGTTCGATCGACCGCGCAATCCCGGGTCAAATTGGAGGAGTCGCCGCTGTTTGGCCCGAGCGACGACGCATATATACGCGCTGCATGAACGGTAAAAACCCCGCGATAGAATCTCGTGCGCCAGATAATATTCACACGGTGATAATGAAGTAAGTTTCGGGGGTTTGGCTGGGATAATCAACGATTGGCCCGGGGAAGGTCATGTCAGTTACCAGTTATGATAATGATGACGATGATGATGCTGGCGATCCAGGGCGCTCGCGCAGGCTGACCTCGTTGATCTTGGCACGAGCGGAACTCGAGAGATCTCGGAGCTCGTGGCTATAACTTGCTTGCGCAAGAGAGGTCCATGGCGCTTCTGGCCAAGAAACCCCTCCTGCGCGCGGCTTCAAACGACTCGCCCATGCAGGCTCGGCACCCTCATGAGCCGCCCTGGCGAGGGGGGCACTTGGCGCGCGCTTAGGCGGCAGCGCTTGCCTCCTCGATGGCGGCGCGCCTCGGCTCGACCGCCGCGGGGTCCTTGCACGGCTTGGATTTGTTCTTGGCCTTGGCCTTGGCCGAGTCGTCGTCGCTGGTCTCCTTGAGTTTGTTGATCCACTCGTAGCCTCTGGCGGCGGACCTCGCTTCGGATCTCGCGCAGGGAGCGATCGATCCAGCGACTCGTCCACAGGCCGCGGGACCAGGCGTCGGCTTGGAACATCGCGCTGCTCCCCGCAGGGCAGGTCTCGCCAGGGCCAGCGGCGCCGAGCTTGCGGGGGATCCCCGCGGCGGCCTTGGGAGGCCGTGTGCGAGCCCTACCCGCGATTTCTGAGGTGGAGGGCGGGCGCCACTTCGTTCGGCAGCTCCCGAGCAAAGTGAACCCCACCTCCCCCCTCAGAAATCGCGGGGTGTAGGTGTGAGTTCGACAGTGGGCCTTTAGGGCCTGCTTGGCCTTCTCGGGCGGCTGCTTGAGGGCGCAGCGGCGCTCCGCCGCGACGCCCCCGCCGATCTTCGAGACCTTGGCGGGCGCTGCTACAGGTGCACCCTGGCCAGGGTGCCTCCAGGGTTCGCCGCAAAACGGAGCGGGAATTCTGGGGGCACCTTGGGGCGGGGGGAATTGCAGCGACCGCCGTCCTTGAGGTAGGTGTAGTGCGCGGGCGCCTCGGAGTGCGCGCAGATCAGGACGTGCTGGGCATTGCCGTTTCTCTCGGCCCAGCGTTTCCGCCCCTCGGGCTGCTGGGCGGCGGTTTCGTCGTCGCCCTAGCCCTCTCGAGCCCGGGCGACGGCCGCCGCGGGCCCCGCCGCCAGAACGGTCTCGGGGGCGCCCGCGCGCTCCTCGAGCTCGCCCAGCAGCGCGTGCACCGCGCCTAGCTCGAGGGCGTCGCCCTTGGCGATCTGCTCGCAGTTCATGACCGCGCGCCCCGTGGCGAGCTCGGTGCGGCGAGCCAGCGTGGTCTGGCGCCAGTCGAGCTTGTGCGGCTGGGGGAACTTATAGTCTTGCTCGATCGTGACCTGTGGCGCTCGGGATTCACGGGCGCTCGTTAGCTTCCGCCTGATTCCGCCTCGCGTCGCTTCCGCTTGCTTCCGCTGCTTCCGCTTCCGCCGTCGCTTCCGCTGTTTCGGCTAGCTCCCGCCTGCCCCCGCCGCCCCGGTCGGAAGCAGGTGGAAGTTACTTCAACGATGGCCTGCGAGGCCCCCAGCTTCGCTGCTCTCGATCTGGAAGATCGCCGCGGTCTCCACCGCGAGGGCGCTCAGGCGGCGCGCGCCCTCGGTGCCCAGGGCTCGCCAGACGCCCAGAACTCTGGCACGCCTGCCCTCGCGGGTTCTTTCCTCGGTGATGCGCGGGGGCCCCTGCAAGCCTCGAGGCTTGTTCTCTTTTTGACCTTCGCTTGCTTCTTGGCGTCCTCCTCCGCTTGCTTCTGCTGCTTGATCTCCCGGGGGAAGCTCGCCTTCGCCTTCGGCGGCTTTTTGCCTGCGCGCATCGCCGCGGCCGCGCCCCGGCCCAGGTGCTCGAGCGAGGCCTCGCCGCCAGTCTCTGCCTTCTCGCGCTGCCACTTGCGCGCGTGCTTGCCCGGAAACTGGCCCGCGTACTTGGGCGCCCACCTGCTCTTGCGCTCACCTGTTCGCTCGAGCGCCTGATCCGGTTCTCGAGGGCGCGCAGGAAGTGGATTTTCTTGATGCGTTCTTCTGGCGTTCTGAGCATGCCCTTCTGCTCGTCGGTGAGCTCGAGGTCCAATTCTCGGAGCTCCAGGAGGCAGGTCCTGCTCGCAGCCCCTGGGCAAGTCGCCCCGGTGGAAGCTATTCCCGTCGAGGGCGCTCCACTCGGGCACGGGCGGCGCGCCCTCGGGCCCTCGGGCCACCTGCGCGCCCTCCAGCCGCCCCCTCGCCGGGCTCGATGCCGCGGCCAGGTTCGATGGAGTAGCTCCGCGGCTCCATGCCCGTGGCGACCAAAAACTCGCCCTGCCCTGTCGGCCGGACCGCGAGCATTTGTTTCGCTTGCATCTCTTGGAGCGGCACCGCGTCTTCGCTCTTGTCGCGGAAGCGGGTGTAGGTCTCGGAGACGCAATCGAGGCATTCGTAGGGCCCCCATCGGGTCGGGGACTTGCACTGTTTCTGGGGCTCGGCCGTGGCTTTCTCGATCCAGTCCTGCTCCATGGCCCAGTGCATCTCGGCCTTGAACTCGGGTCGCGGCCTTGAGCTGGCTGTGATCGCGGGTGTCCGGCCCATTCAAGAAGCTCGTGATGTCGGGGGCCATCTGCTCGTAGATCACATTCTGGAGCCACGCTCGGAGCGCCGCTGCCTTGGTCCACTGGCTCGAAGCATCCTGCGAACACGAGGCTCCTGCCGCGTTGCTGCTCGATGACGTCGGTGGTCCAGGAAGCGACGAGCTCGTCCGTCTAGGCCCTGGACTGCCCCCGCACGTTGATGGCCTCGAAGGCCCCCGCGCGGCCCTCCTCGGAGAACTCGAGCAGGGCGTTGCGCCAGTCCTCGAGCAATGCTCCCACGGGCTCGCTTGCTCATGAGCGCTCCGTCTCGCTATCGCCCCGCTCGTAGGTGACGTCGCGCCGCCGGGTGCCCTCCTCGAGGTTCATGTCGCCCACTCGGCAATGCCTTCCGCGGGGGACAAGGAGCGCGCTGCGCTTCTTCGCGGACTTGGGCCCCCCGCATGGGTCGAAAACAGCCCTCGACTGTGGAGGTGTTGATGATGGGGGCCCTGTTCTTGTCCCCCGCGCTCGCGTAGGCCTGGCCCACTTGCTCCTTCTGGGCGGGGTGCTCTGCCAAGTGCTTGGCCTTCTCGGCCTCGAAGGCTGCCCCGCCCCCCTCGGGCTGCGTCTCGCGGTGCATGCGGCAGAGGTCCTGGATGCGTTTCTCACAGCCTGCGGCGTAGATCTCGCTCTCGTGGATGCACGCGTTCTCCGCGCCCCGGAGCTTAGCCAGAGCGCGGTGGCGTCGGCGGCGACCACGCTCGCGCGACGGTCTCGGTGTCCCCGGCGAAGAGGCCGAGGTCCTCGGAGCCGCCCCTTGCCACCAGGTGCACGAACCTAGTTGTGGCAGTAGCAGTTACTAGTAGTAATGGAAGTGGTAGTGCGACTACTCGTAGCCGTAGTTACTCGGCGTAGGTATTAGTTGTTCGTAGTTCTTTTCTTCCGAATCACTAGTAGTAGTAGTAATAGTAGTAGTAGTAGTAGTAGTTATTAGTAGTGCTCGTAGTAGTCACTAGTACTACTAGTAACTCGTACCTAGTAACTACTAGTAGTCTGGTTCAGTACTTACTAGTACTACTAGTAACTACTCGTAGTATTTGCATGACGAAAACTACGACTACGAATTCACCTTACTAGCAACTAGCAAATATTATTTCTTAGTCGTTCTCGTAGTGGTTACTAGTACTTTTCGTAACTACTAGCAGTAGTAGCTTCTAGTATTACTAGTAATAGTTACTCGTCGTACTTCTACCACGAATAACTACGACTACGAATATCTAACTACTACACGTAGTAGTGCTAATAGTTTCGCTAGTAGTAGTAGTAGTCGTAGTAGTACTAATACTACGACTATTACGACTACTACTACCACTACTACTACTACTACTACTACTACTACTACTACTACTACTACTACTACTACTACTACTACTACTACTACTACTATTACTGTTACTATTATTACTACTACTACTACTACTACTACTACTACTACTACTTCTACTACGACTACTACTAGCACGAATATCGACAACTACTACAAGTGCAACCTGTCGGCCGTGGTCCAGGTCAGCTTGGCCTTGGCCGTGCTGAGTGCCTGGTTCCTCTGGTCGGAGGTGCGTCGGCCCTTGCGCCCGCTTGCGCTCGGCCTCGGGATGGCGAGCTCGTCCATCCACCTCGTGTCCTTCCTGGGCGTCTGGGTGATCTGGAAGGTGCTCGGGCGCTTGGTCGCCCTCTTGAGGTTTTCGGCCGACCTCTTCTGCCTGACCTCGCGGCCGCGCTCGCGCCCCCGCTTGG